AATGAGTCATTAAAAATTTGACTCTTGGTGTCAGATTGTTTCCTAAATCTGAATGTATTTAACAGAATAATACAAATGCTCCAGCATTCCCTTGTGGTTAAAAACTCACTGAAATCTTGTTTCTAGGCTACATTTGAAGTCTTTTCCCCCCAGAGTTATGGGCTTTTTCCCCCATTATATTTTATAATGGAAAGGTTTTCCTTTGCCGAGAATGACAAATATCCTAGTACTGAGATTCCATGGAGAATTGCCCTATTTCAAAATGGCTGCCATCTGCTATTGTTCTCAATGGGACTGAGGCCACAAGCTGCTCTTAACAAAGATAGCTGCTAGGTTGCTTCTCAGTAGAAACAAAGGAGTGAGCGTGTCTATTTTCAAAGATTCCTAAATTGAGGGCAGCTGTATTTTAGTCATGTGGAGACTTCAATGGGAGATAGCAGAGGACTTTATACACCAGCCTCTTCTGATGGATAAATCCTCCGTCATGAAAGTTAAAGGCAAAACATTATCATTAATCCTAAATATTTATTTTAAAAGTTTCCTTTGCACCAGATCTATTCAGGAGAAAGGGTAGGAAGGTGTAAAGTAAGTGTGTGGGGGGGGGGAGGCCTTCAGCAGAGAGTGGGGAATTGGTGTGTGTGCATGCACAAAGGAATGTGGGATGGCAGCTCTGGGTCAGCACTGCTGACTGGGCCATTAAAAGTCTGGTTAGCAGCACAGCAGGCCAGACGGGCTCCCTGCTCGACTCCGCACGGCTCCTGGGAAGTGGCCGGCATGTCCCTCCAGCTCCTAGGTGGAGAGGTGGCCGTGGGGGCTCCATGTGCTTCTCCTGCCCTGAGCTCCAGCTCCGCAGCTCCCATTGGCCAGGAACCACAGCCAATGGGAACTGCATGGGTGGCATCTGGAGGCAGGGGCAGTGCACAGAGCCCCCTGGCCACTTCTCCACCTAGGAGCCAGAAGGACATGTCACTGCTTCCCGGGAGCCACCTGAGGTAAGCGCTGCCCAGAGCCTGCACCCCAAACTCCCTCCCACACCCCAACACCCTGCCTCAGCCAAGAGCCCCCTCCCACACTCCAAACCCCTCAGCCCCAGCCCAGAACCCCCTCCTGCACCCCAAATCCCTCATCCCTGGCCCAACCCAGAGCCCACACCCCCAGATGGAGCCTGCACCCCAACCTCTGCCCCAGCACAGTGAAAATGAGCGAGAGAGCAAGGGTGGGGGGGAGGGAGTGAGGAGGGGTGTGGCCTCATAAGAAAGGGGCAGGGCAAGGGTGATCAGTTTTCTGCAATTAGAAAGTTGGCAACCCTATTTGTTCTGCTACACAGCAGACTGATAAAGATATCTATAAAAGTAAAAATAAAATATTAAAAGTTGAGATTAAATATTTTCAAGTCTTTAAAAATATCCCAGGGTAACATTCCCTTTTGGTGAATGTTATTTCTTCACGTATGGAATTTTAAATTTGAAAACTCAAGCAAATTCCCAGGAGAAAACTTCATTAAGGTTGAGAGCACATATCAAGGTAAAATACATTAAAGGGATAATGTTTTCACCCCTCAGCTCACAGAGAGCCGAGAAGCAGTTATCCCAAACCCAAGCATTGTAAATACGGGAAATTCAAAGTTAAGATTACATTTAAAGGAAATCCAAATGTATTAAGCTATGTAAATGCACAGATAAGTAACCCTGTAGTGGCACAGAGTAGAGTGTTTAGTGGTGGGAAAAGAAAATGTGTCTTTAAAAACCCATTTAATGTAATCTGGGACCACACACTGAAATGCCTTAGTCATAATTGTATGGTTATTGCATGGTTTCCCTACATGGTAGAGTTAGGGTTGTTTGGGTGCCTTTTCATACTTGAGCATGTTTGGATTTCTTTTAAGTGTAACCTTATCTCTGAATTTCCTAGGTTCTAATGTTTGGTTTGTGGGTATTTGCAACATCTGATGGTTTGGGGATAAATACAGTGTGTTTTAGCCTATATTACTGATAGGCTCATACTTAATACTTAGCATTGTTTTTGGTTACACCAGCTAAGGTAAAACTTACAAGGACTATAAATTTTAATACATCATGACCTAAATTGTTCCCTTTCTGGAGTCAGGGAGGAATTTTGACACATTGTAAAATAAGTTCCCTGACAAAAACCATGTTAAGACTTATTTAAACTTTAGAATACATATCATTAGTTTAACCTATTAAAGCAGGTGTCCTGTGACGGGTGAGAAGAGGGGAAGTATATGGCATGTAGTTAGACAGTATCATAATGCAAACACACAAGGGGGCCAAATTAAGGTGCACAGACAACCTTAATTCTAACATCTTCTAACTTTTGAGAGATTGACTTTGTAGCCTTCTTTTTTTTTTAATGTAATATACCTGACAACTACTGGATGTTACAATCACCTTGAAAATAATTTGCAATTGAGAAAAGATCTGGAGTGTGGCGGGTGAGGGGAAGGAAATATTGACACTACAAAAGAAAAGAAATGGATTGTTGGTGTCTTGCTAACTTCAGATAAAATAACAAGTTGGTAACAAAATCTCAGAATATACACATGAGGGAGATATGGAGAAGACAAATAAGCCGTAAAAGTCTTGGAACTTGATTTGATAATATCAAGGCTAAAATTGTTTAAACATACACTAAATAAATATTATTAGAGGATTCATCTATCTTAATGGATTTCCAACTCAAGAATAGCTTTTTTTTTATGGTATACTTTAATTTTTGTTGGTATAATTGTTAGGCTTTTGTGAAAGAGACAGAAAGCAATGATCGAGATATACAATGAGTCATGCTCAAGTGCAGTGCAAATGGAAAAGTCTGTTTGTTTTTAAAAAAACAAACAAATGAAAAACTCCTCATCCAGGATGCTGTTCTGACTCCCATGCACAGGAGTATTGCAATAATACAGTACTTACAGGCCTAAATATATCTTTGTTTTGAAAAGGGTAGTAGGCCCAAACCCTCATCCCCTGCATCCTTTCTGGATAATAATAATTAGGCTTATTATAAAAATAATAATGCTTTGCCACCTCTTAATTATAAGTGATTCCTCTCCACCATTATTAATCCACTTCATGAAGAGCCAGCCTAAGGATTTTGGGGAGAATTTGTGAGAGGATTGTTTGGGATAAACTCCAAATCTGACTGACTCATTGTACGTAAAACCTCTGGGTATGTGTTATTTAATGCCTTTCCAACCCCCATCACTTTTCACCTCTTGCTGCAGAAATGCAGCTCGTTTGCTTTTTCCTTTCGAGTTTCATGATTGTTTGCTATTGGTTTACATTTTCAGTGCTGAGATTCCAAGGAAGAGGAATACAAATGTATTTTAAAATAGTCGGGGGATCTTGTGGATGCAGGCTTTTCTGGGCCTCGTAGGGTGGTTCTGCTTCTGTGGCAGCTGTGCTCCCCTCTTTAGGCAGGGGGGTTGACTAGTGAATCAGTTTAGTCATAGCAATACCAGTCATGCAGAACCCCAATCACGCACACAACAGTATGGTGGAGCGGCCATGGAGCCACATAGTATGCGGAGGATTCCTCACCTCCCTGTGCAGCAAAGCCTCACCTGTTCCACTGCTTTCTGCATCCATGACACTATTTGTCCCGTAATGTACCAACGTCCAAAAACATCAGCTAGAACAAAGAAACTCAGAGGTTTTGGTTGCAAGGGTTCAACTTGAAAGATAGTAAAATTCACTGCTTGCCATGTGACTTCCCACTAAAGCTGTACATTTCAGGTTCACTCTAAACTCTGCTCATGTTCCCCAGGAGGCTCTCACAGCTCAGGGATCCCTTCAGCAAGTCTGGCCAGAATTTTAAATTGTAACAAAAACTGAATCAAGAACCTGGGTTTTGCTTCCCATTATGAAAGTCTTACTCAGCTGTCCCATTGACTAATTAACACTCTACAGGGATGTTGGTTTGTATTTCTGCTTCTCTAATGCCCAACAAAACATTCACTGATTAGTTTCCATTTCCAATAGTTTAGAATACATAGGGCTTATTTTCCAATAGCTGCAGGGGAATTTAGCACCATAACTGCTTTACTTTCAGTGAACATCATCCAGATACTATTTTTCATAATATTTTAAGGACCTAATCAGCCCTTGGATGCCTGTCATTGGAATCCAAAGCAAGTACAGAGGCACCAGGCTTAAGTGTGGTTTGACTGTGCCTCTGCTGGTTTGGGGGTTCACACTCCAAGCTTCTTTTAAAGGAGGAATTATAGGTCTTCTCTTTCCATCCCCCAACAAGGATGAGAGAGATTCTGGGATGGGAAGCATATGGCGTTTCCTGTCCCCTGTGCAGGCATCTATAAATACAGCCTGTATTTTATTACAGGACAGGGAGATTTCATGTACAGCAAGATTTTACAGCCAAGACAAAAACTCTTCAAACAATTGGTTTTCTAAATGCATTGGTAAGTCCCTAAGGTACAGCAGCAGCATTAATGGGTGCCACTGTCAAAGGACATGGTATTCGGAGACAGCTGAAAAGTGGCTTTCTGTAGATTTTTTCCCATTTCTATCACACATTCAAAAATATGCCACTTATATTTGTACATATTTTACTTTGTTCATCACAAGGAAAGAGAACCTTACTTCAAATAAAACTAATTAACTGTGGGGGTAGGGGTTTGGAAAAGGAGGATAAGTTTAGATAGCCCTTTTGAATGGGAGATTACTCATGAATTGGAGAAATCCCCACAGTGCATTTATGTCAATAGTATTGTACATATTCTTTCCTCACACATTCCAGTACAAGATGTATATTAAATATGTGTACCAAATGCTTAACTGGCAGTAAGTCAACCTTTTCTGAGTGAACAGCCCATTGATGATACAAAACATTTTTCTTTTTTCCCTCAAAAAATGAGAGTTTGTTGCCCATTATTCAATGACTTTTTGTCAAATTAGGGAACAGAGAGCTTTTTATTCTTTCCATGAAGTGCCCTTTCAGATTCAGTAATTGTATGTTCTGTTCCTCAGGAAATGAGAGAAGATCGAGATCGGTCACGATTGGACTCCATGGTGCTGCTAATTATGAAACTGGACCAGCTCGATCAGGATATTGAAAATGCTCTCAGTACAGGCTCTTCACCATCCAGCACCCCAACGTACAAACGGAGGCATATACCTGTGAGCCTGTTTGCTAACTCTTTCTTTTTATTCTAATTAGATTTATTTTGGTTCATTCATTTCTCTTCCTCTCTATCTCTCTCTCATTACTTTGATCAGCCTTTCACTTGCAGATTGCACTTTTCTGTGAAAAGAGAGCTGATATGTGGGAGAATTATGAAAACATCCCAGATGAAAGAATGGGAGAACAGCAAAATTCAAAAGGTGTCAGGCTGTTTCTATTACCTCTTATCGCTAAGACAAATTAGAGTGGAGTTAGAATCACAGTAATGTTAGCCTGTGAATATATGCACATTCCACTTGATTTGCAATAGCTAGAGTTGAAAATGTACATTAGTTACAGTTTATTTTGTTCCCAGTTGTGGGGTCCAGAAATTTTTCAGCAGGGAGCCACTTGTGGGCCACTTATGAAATCCTCCTCTGTTAGAATAATATTCCAGCATAATCCAGAATTTTTATTCAGATGGAGAGTCTTTTGCAGAGGACAATGTGAAAGAGGATAGAGCGGTTCACTAATGAGTAAATTGTTATTTTAAAAGATTTATTTAAACAAGTAGATAGATGTGAGGAATACTACCAACTTTTCAACTGGCTTGTTTGAGATGTTATAATGCAGGCTTTCTGCTCATCTTAACCATCTCTATTTTGCAATTAAAAATAACCAATCTTAAAGAAACATGTTCATTTTATCCAGTGTTTGGAATGAAGCTTTTTTCTAACAAAGTCATCTTCATCATTTCCATACAGTCTAGTTAGTAATATGTAGGAGAAAAATGGTTTTCTATTTTTATTTGAATCTTAGCATGTTGGCCAGTTGAAGAGTATGTAGTTAATAATATAATACAATTCATGTTTGTATTCTGTTACTTAGCAAAAAGTTTGACAGCATATAACAGTTAAGCCACTTAAAATATAGAGGTGTTGAAATACCCCCAAATCATAAATATTTTCTTCTCTCTCAATAGGGGCTGCCATAATGTTCACTATTTAAAATAATAATAATGCTTTTTGAAATCCTCGACTGGCGGGTTTTTTAACTCATTCTTAGAAGAAACCAAATCCAATCTGAAAAGGAAAGTACAACACAAAACAACATAGCTACTAATATCTCTGAAATCTTTAATAGAAATGTTTTCAGTTTGAATGAGAGAATTTTGAAGATTTTGACTGGCTGTTAAGTGTCTCCTGATGTCATTTTTCTTTTTAATTTTATTTCTCTTGTTGAAATTACATTGCACTCAAATCTTCAAATTGCATAGAAAGTACTCTCAAATTCACTTATGCTCAAAGGTGCAATTCATCCCTGTGCAAAGGACCTGCCCAAAGTTCATGCACCCACTCAAATCCCACTTAAGCCAAAGGAAAGTGGGATTTAAGCAGTACATGAGCTTTTGTGCAGGCTCCCTCTGTGCAGAGATGAATTTCACCCATGATGCTCAATCCCACTCCCCGTGCAGACACTTGCAGAAAATCCCATTGACAATAATGGAATCAAAGTGGAGTCCAAAATTCCCATTGAAATTAATGAGTGTAGAAATAGGGACCCAAACTATCAAAAAAAATTACACTCTATTCCCTTTAAATATAGCTGGCTCATGAATTTTCAAGGAGTTTTAACTGTATGGAAAATTTGAAGAGACATTAATAAGTCATTTTTGAGCTAAAAGGAGACAGAAATAAAAGTCCAAATCAAGGTAATTTTTAATTAGTTGTAACTGGAAAAAAAGGCATGGTGTATGTTCTTCAACTTCGCATAAACTTTCTCCTCCGCTTTCAGAGTCAATCAGGGAATTCTGGGGCAAAACCACTTTTGCAGGTCAACGTTATTGGCTTCTATTAAGCCTTCATAATGGCAGCTGGTTGAAAACTTAACTATTGGCAGGCTGCCTGTTCTCCATAAAAACTTGTATTAGTGTGATTGCTTAGAGGGGAAAAAGATGAGGGATGGAAATTAAGAAGTGTTATCTAGAATATTCTGAAAACAGGGAAATGTTTAATTCATTTCAGATAAAAAGTACATGTGTTGCCTTGACAATATAGATTCCAAGGTCAGAAGGCACCATTGTGATCATGTAGGCTGACCTCCTGTATAACACAGCCCATTGAATTTCCCCAAAATAGTTCCTAGAGCATATGTTTCAGAAAAACATCCAATCTTGATTTAAAAATTGTCAGTGAGGAAGAATCCATTATGACCTTTGATAAATTGTTCCAACGGTTAATGACCTTCATTGTTAAAAATTTACACTTTATTTCCAGTCTGAATTTGTCTAGCTTCAACTTCCAGCCATTGGATAATGTTATATCTTTCTCTGTTAGGTTGAAGAGCCCACTATTAAATATATGCTCCTCATGCAGATGTCGAACAGAGATGTCACTAGAATAATGTAACTGTTTAAGGCCAATGTTGCCTCTTATCTTCATAACCTTTTAAAACTGCTTTATTTTAATCTTTTAATCTTTTAGGGACAACTTGTGTGCTTAGATATCACATGTATAACTTTCACTGATTTCCTTTAGACTGGAATTTGCATGTCATAGAGGAAAATCTGGCCCTTAATGTTCCATTGTTCTCAGGGGTTCTCATTATAGTGGGTTTAATATATGATACGATAATGAGAGATCCATAATATCTATCATCCTGCTTTGCATTCTACAGCTGTCAGTTGTGGGGCGCCTGTTGGAAGGCAGCAAATAAAAAGCCCCAAATAGCTACATGGTATACTTCTGCTAGCCAAGAAAACAACATGAGGCAGTGGGCGCACCTAGTGAGCTTTCCAGAGGTGGCTAAGTGTGCTCATTTGGTATGGCCTTGTAAGAAGTTCTCTAGAGGCCTAGCAGTGCACGTGTTTGTATCTGAAAATAATTATGCAAATAGATATGAAACCCAGAATGCATACAACATTGCCACAGGGTGGCTGGCTCCTTTAAGAGGGAACAGGGTCCAGTGCACCTGGGACTCATCAGCTGCTTCCCAAATGGACTTAAGAGTAGGCATCTGTGCCATATAAATGGACAGAGGCTGAGAGAGTAGGGAATCAGGAGGAAAGGGGCAGGTGAGAGCTGGCTGGGAGAGACAGAAAAGAGCAGATGAGAGCTTCCTGAGGAGGGAAGGACAGAAACCGGAGCAGCAGAGGACAGCTGAAATAGAGAGCCATTGGGAAGAACAAAAAGTGAAGGAGGTTGCTGGTGAGGACTAGTCAGAGTTGGGGAATCCCTGCTGAGTTACAGGCAGGCTTGCACAGAGGCCCCTAGAAACAAGGGGAAGAACAAGCCTGATTCAGAGAAGCTGAGCCCAGAACAAGAGGGTTAATGCTAGAGGCTGGATCTCACAGACAGTGAGGAACACTGTGGGAAGTCCTTATGCAGCAGGCCTAAATGGAGGTCTGTGGGAAGCTGAGCCCAGGAGCAAGGGGTTGGTCTTGGAGGGAAGTTCCCTGAACAGGGGCAGGACTCACAGACGGGGAGCCTTCTCACAGGAGATGTGACTTTGGGCTACTGCAGAAATGGCATGGGAGAGAAGCAAATCTGGGAAATCACAGGTGGATGGCCTAGAGCAGGGGTTCTCAACCTTTTTCTTTCTGAGCCCCCCCTCCCCCTCCAACATGCTATAAAAACTCCACACCCCACCTGTGCCACAACAACTATTTTTCTGCACATAAAATCCAGGGCCCGCGTTAGGGGGTAGCAAGCAAGGCAGCTGGGGCCCTCACAAAGCTAAGTTGCTCAGGCTTTAGGTGGCAGGGTTTGGGACCCTGGGCTTCAGCCCTGTGTGGCAGGGCTTTGGCTTTCTGCCCTGGGCCTCAGTGAGTCTAAGGCCGGCCCTGCTTGGCAGACCCCCTGAAACCTGCTCGCATTTCCCCAGGGGGCCCCGGACCCCTGGTTGAGAACTGCTGGCCGAGAGGGTGGAACCCTGGAATGAGGATAAAAAGAGAATAGATTGGAGATGGACTCTTGGGAAGGAGAGCTGGAAATGGCATCCAGGGAGGGGGCATGGAAAACTGCTGTGAACCTGAAACATATTACTATTCACACCCAAGTGCAGTATAATATGGTGCAGCTCATTTGTCTTAGATGACTGAAAGCTTGATCATGCACTTCGATACACTCACTCATAGCTATCAAATTGACTCACCTGCATATGTGTGTAGAAGAACAGTAACTAATTTTACAAGATAATTAGTGATGATGCTTGCCTTCAGAATGAAAAGCATTAGCTGAGCCTTTAGAGGGAGACAAAATATGAAATACTGGATTATTAGTATTATTCTGATACTGTACTGTTTACATGTGATCACTGATTTTCTATAAACCTTAGTGCCTGTGAGTATTGTGCAAAGTAGTATAAAAATTTTGTTTCCAAAGCAATTATTATGTTTACATTGTCTCAACTAGATGTTACATGGTATTTTTAAAAGGATGTGTTTATTTCCTCAATACACTATTTTTGTTACATTCTTAAAATGTGAATATAACCCTTAGCCTAAAAAGTTAAGGCATTTTAACCAAAGACTACATTTGGCAAATGCATCCCATACTAATTTAATTCCAAAATAACAAGAAGCTGCGCCTTTGAATTGCACAAACTGCTAAATGATGATGTCACCTCATCTGTGTAATGATTTACAGATGTTCATTGAGCTTGCAAATGCTTCCAGAGACAGAAGGTGGGCGCAAAACCCAAGATACACAGGAAACACTAAACATTAGAAAATAATGCCAGACTTCTGCAACTCTTAGATGATTTTTTTTTTAACTCTACACCCTTCCATTTAGGGGAATAATAGCTTTGATGTTAGTGGTGATTTATAATTTCAGCACAGCAGCTAATGCAAACCACCTTAACTGAGAAGAATGAAAGCGAAAGAGTGCACATGTAAGGGAGGAGAGAGAACAAGGGGATGTTTGCTGTTACCTTACAAAATTAAAAATATATTATATTTGGATATGCCTAAATAAACACTTGTTATTTAGTGTTATTTGTTATTTAAATAACATAGTAACCTGCATTAAACAGTTCCATATTAACATGTACTAAAGAGATTTGTATCATTTTTGACAGGATTTGGAATCTGGCTCTGCAAGTGGAGCAGACGTTGTTTCAATAAGTCACTCCCAAACACACTTGCCTCCTGATATCCATGCTGCTGACCTAACATCTCCATGTCCAATGGCTGGCTCTGGAGCTAAACCCAAGGCTGGGGTGAGTTTAGAACAATGTTAATCTTATCATATGTCCTAATTATTGGACAGAACTGATAGAGTTGTTGTGCCACATGCTATACAGGCTGTAGAGGAGTATACAGTCCCTAAGCAATGTATTGAAAGCTTTGAAGTTGTCATAGGTTTCCCTTAGCATGTTTCCTAAAATGCAGGATGCATCTCAAAATGTATGTTGTGGCATAGAATTCTTAGATAAACTAGAGGTTTGGTATTTAATCCGAGACTATGTGCTGATAATTTTTACAAGTTTGGCTTTCATGTAAAAAGACAAACCATAATGGAGACACAATGTTTGACTTTGGACGATAAGATTTACAGCAGCTGTAAGGAATATCTTTCTGTGGGATTCAGATTCCGATAGCATACGTTTACATAGTGCTTGTAGCAGATCAAGATAGACAAGGGAGCTCACTAATTTGGGTGGCTGTCATCACAGGTCATAACATTATGTGGTGATGCAACATACCTCGTGGTAACAGGATGTCAGCAAGGAGAAATAATGAAGGGGACCCACAGAGAACAAAATTATCTGAAATGTTTTCATCTGTGTGTGCAATGTGCAAAGCAATCCTTAGTGTTCCCTGCCCCCATTTCTCCCTAGCTGGAGAATCTGTACTGATGCATATACACACAAGAATGGGAGAGTCGAAGGGAATGTACATTGGCTAGTCTCAGATACCTAATGCAATTTCCTGTAATTTAGATGACTGACATTTCAGAAGAGAGACTTTTTTTTTCTTTTTTTTTTTTTGCAAAACCTATGTTAAATATTATTTGCCTTTCTCCCCAAAACATGGTGAGGTGAGGTGGTCTTCCTCGCTACCCCTCAGAGTGAGGGGGGATCTGCTGAAGGCACACACTTTCCTTTAGATGATAACAGATGGATAAGGGCCTCAGAGTTGGGACCCATCTTTCCACGTTCAGGTGCTGTTGCAGTTCCACTCATCGGAAAGCCTATGTACCCCAGAAACTCCCAAGCCAGGCACCACCTCCTTCTGCTCTTCTCACTTCTTCAGATTCTTCTGCCGGGTAAATCCTCACTTCATCAACCAGAGAAGTCTAGGCTTCTCTAAACTCTCTCAGGGCTGGCACAGAACCAACCAGAGAATCTGGGCACCTTCACCAACTCTGTGGTAGACCCTTCCATTTCTCCCCACTGCTACACCCAAAGGTAATTGGGCTGGCAGAGAACTTGGGCCAAAACCTAGAAACAAAAAGTGAGCCTGGTACGAAACAGCAAACTTATATACTTATTTTTACACATCAATGTGTACTGCACTGTAATAGCAAGCTAACTAATGGCTCTTTATTGCTGCAGTTATGAAGGTTCCAATAAACATTTATGTGGATTTAGGATTCTGCGCTTGTGTAAAAATAAATTCCCATGTAATTAATCATTTGAACCAGTGCATAGCTATAGCAAATAGAGGGCTCTGCACTTTGTCAATAATTGCATAAAGCACAGCACAAGCTCTTGAGCACAGTAAAGTTGTTGGGGGATGCAGTCTGAATGTCCCATTTCACCATCCCCCTGTTGAGAAGAGCAAGCATCAAAGACTCTCAAAGGTAATAAACAGTTTTTTCATTTAAATTTCACTACTAATATTTGGGGGTCTTTGAACAGCTAGCTTTCTGGTCATCAGTGGTGCCTTGGGATAAACATCACTGGAAAATGTTAATTCCGCATTTAAAAGCATTTGTTCTTTGATGACTTTGGCTCTGGGTTAATGCTGGACGTATCTAAGTAGTTCTTTTTCTGTGATGTGCATTTTTAATGTGTACTTTTTGCAATGATTCTGTTTTTTCTTTTGCTATGGAATTATTTTAACAGTGTATATAGAGGTGTATACTTCATATACATTTACAGAGTTGCAGCAGTCACTCCATATGTAAGATTAATTCTAAGTTTCCATTTTATTCAACTCAATTTTCAAAACCTCCCCTAAGTTTCCCTAAATGAAATCCCTCTTCCTGAAACTTTTCATGCTGCATCTCATTCCAGGGTTGAAGTTTTTTTCCTGGGAAGATTAGTAAATATGATCACACCAAGAGCTGTCAGATACTATGGTGATAGATTAGATAAATAAACAATGGATCCAGTCCCCGGTTATTTTCTCCCACCCCTCAGAAGGAGTACAACCCCCAATAGTGCCAACCTCTACCAGGTATGCTCTATCACTGTGGGTCTTGTACTTTCAGGACATGCTAGCTGGGCACTCGAGCAGCCAGCAAGCATAGTGCTGATGCATACTGTTGCACCAGCTGTCAGCTCATTGAGAGATTTGCCCCTCATCCTGCAGTCACTGGTTCTTAAAATCTACTTTCTTTGAAATCCACCACCTCTCATCCCCACATACCTTTGACCCCAATGTTAGTCTAATATCTAAACCACCCCTGACAGGGATATCCACCACTAGATGCTGTTAGCAAGATGCTTAGCTGGCATGCCCCACCCCATACTGCACAGAAAGCAGTTAGAGCCAAGTGTACATGACTCAAAGGAACAATTTGGCATTGGTGTGTAACAAATATGTGTCCAACACCAGCTGGTTGAACCTTCCCAGAATAGTCACCAGGGATGTCTATGTGCAGATGATCTCCCCTGTGAAATCACTGGTGAAATCGCTCGTGCTGGCTGTTCTATCTACGGAAGTGAATGTTGTAATAGTTTGTTTTGTTATGGTAGCTGGCTGAGAATAGCTTTATTTTATATCTTATTTCCTGCTGTGGAAACTTAGTGAACTCTTTTTAATGGGGACTATTTAAAAGGATTTATTTCCTTCTGGAGTAGTACTATTATAATGCCTTAAGAATTGCAGGTGTTTATTTTTAGTAGGTACTGCTATTTACTAACAGTGTGTAAACAACAAAGTATGGCTACAATTAGTTACTGAAAGGAATGGCTAAAAATAGCACAGATATATTTTATGTTCTGTTTAAAAAACATAAAATATACCTAAACATTTAACTCTATTAAGGTCTTGCTATGTTTCTAAAATGAGGAAACCAACACATTTAACTATGATATATATTAGAAGCATCTAAAACTACTAAAAATATTAGAACTAGGGATTTGGGTGTTGATCAACCACATCCGATTATATGGTCTCTCTTCGATAAGAGACAAATCCTGCTCTTAGATGCATTCAAGGAACTGACTTCACCAAGGACAGCCTGTATATTCAAAGCAATGCATCAAAGGGAGAATAAGGCGAGGAAGGATGATACAATGGCTATGGCAGTACCCTAGGACTTAGGTATAAGACCCTGCTTTGCCACAGATTTCCAGTGTGACATTGGGCAAGTCACTTAGCCTCTCTGTATCTCAGTTTCCTGTCTGTAAACAGTGTGTTGTGAGGGAAAATACATTAGAGATTGTGAAGTGCGTGGATACTTTGGAGTGGGGACCATATAAGTACCTAAGATAGACCAAAGCCCATAACAAGTACAGACATTGGGCTACATCTGCTTTATTATGACAAAGTACCTGAAAATAGAAGTTGGTCTTTTAGGTTTATTTCCTAGTGGTGGAAGTTGACTTCTCTACTGACCTATGGAAAAAGAGGCTAGTTTTACTTTTCATGGGCACTTCCTTATTATGCGTTAGATATAAATCCTTTCATTGGCAGAGGTGCTAAAAATCATCTTTTCAAGATCAATAATTGGAAAAAGTAAAAATCTCTCAAGTCCTTTAGCCACACTGTATAGGCTGTCCTGGTCTGTTACATAAATACTGTGCAACAAATTTAAGATATGTTGTATCTTATAACTGATATATGTAATATTATGATTTAAGGGAGTGATGCAATTAATTGAAGTAAATAAATTATTGGCATGGCAAGCTACACAAATATTACCAAAATATAAAAGACAGAACCCGCAGTTACCTGTCAGAGGTAGATAGCCCTATCTTGGACAGAATGTATCCATACAATCTGTTTGAGGTTCTTATCCCATGTCTATTTGTCATTACTGTCCATTCCTGATTCAATGGCAAGTTGCTATGTTTGGTGAAGCTGTTTCTGCCATTGCTTTAATTACAGTGTGATACTTCAGCCTGTGTGACTTGAAAGAGAACAAGTAGAATAATAGCATTCAGATTTAAATACGGTACCATCATTATAGGAATATTCTTGCCCCTCCATGCTAGAGTGACTGTAGTGCTGTGATGGCAGGGATCAGTGCACCAGCACTTTATATATCATGGTGGGGATTTGGATCTTAACTTTGGACAACCCAGATTTTTAAAAGAGGTTTGAAAGTGATTGTTTATTCCTAGGCTTAATGGGTTTTTTATTTGCTTTTATTTGTAGAATTTGGTTCTACTCTGTAATCTGCTAATAAAAGTTTAGAACAGGTTTCCCTTATATATCAATAATAGATTTTCAAGAATATTGATTGAATTGTCCACTCCTGTGTATAAAATGACTGCTTCCTTGGTAATCTAGCGTGAAGAAGCAGGGATAGCACTGTGAGACTTTCACTAAGAGCTGTTAATGTGGGGTAGGAGGTAGTCCTGGTGACAGTATAGCAACAACTAAAGTTTGTGCTGCTGTGTTGTGATAACTGGTCGCTTCACACTGCTTGTTTTACTCACAAATATTCCCATTAATTACATGCAGACTATGGATGGCTGTAAATTTTCCACTGGAATGAAATTTCAATGAGAAACAGAAAAAAGTTGTTTAAAATAGTCATGAAAAATTTCCAGTTAGTCCTAAATAGGATTACTTCCATCAGTAAAGCAACCAGAATTAGGCCCTCTATGGACTCAGTCTCCAAATGATTGTTTTCCACAGCTGCAGTAATCACTAATTTATAGTAACTTCAACCACCCAACCTTGCCTATAACAATTAAATGACCCAGTGCAGTCTTTGCGACCAGTACCACAATGAGATACTGTCAAGGCTGAATCCCCACTCTGGCACTTAAAGTGCAGAAGGTGGAGGCACACAAGGATTTTAAAAATTAATACTTGC